TCCCATAAGGTATATTGCTACCTACTCATGCAGGCTAAATAATTTGTGGTCTTCACGCCGAGTGCTCCCGTGGAGTAGAACCATCGGCCAAATGAATCTAACTTCCTACTTTCCCTGTCTGAAGGGGCAGAATGGGTTTTCTTCGACTTGGATGAGGAAGTAACCACCATTGAGTTTGGCTGAGGGTGGATGAATAAGAATTCCACTCCTGCTTCCTGGACCCTGTACATATGGTCCATGCGGCGTGTGGACACTGGAACCGATGATGATTTATCTCATGGCGTTCTGGCCGCCTATAAAAGGACCGTCGACATGGGCAACGCTATAGCTGTTGACGTATCCAATTGTACAATGTCAAATACGGCATCAGTGACCAATGGTTGCGGCTGTACCACAGAAAGACCAAGGGAGTGGGCCATCCTCTTAATGAGGTCTCCATAAGAGGTTAGGTTTTCTGAAAAAGATATGGGTTGCTCATCGGCTACTGCCTGCTTATGAGACGGTTGGTCAGGTGAGCTGTGGACCTCTGAGACTCCCATGTCGGAATCCTCCTCTGTAGAATCAGAGGAATTGGGGTCTGGTAATTGTACTGGTAATTGTACTGGAGTGGCTTCCCGCTGACCGGTTGGATCCGAGATCAACTGAGTCGGAATAGGAGGACTAGGAGATCGATATTGATCCAATCGATGCTGAGGAGGATCTTCAGATGGACGATCCAGAGGGTGAAAAAGAGATGCAGAGGGTGTCAGCCTCGATCTGCGGGGGGACCGGGATCTATGCACAGAGTAACGATCCCAATCCGAATAACCTGCTGGTGTTAACCATGGCATGGACACAGGCGGATAAGCGCCATAAAGATAGCATAGCTGGCGGTGATCCCATGAAAGAACAGGAGGCGGTGGGGGCAGAAAGACCCATGGGGATCTACTCCTGGAGCGGGAGTGTCTGGGAGATAAAGAAGCTTCTCGTCTCCTGGAGCGGCCCCTATCAGCCCGAGTATCGATATCGAAAGGCCGGTCCTCGGTGAAGAGGCGGGGGGGTTGACGTTGAGTGGCGGAAGAGATCTGTCGATGCCAACTGGTACCGGTATCGGCACGGAACTCCGAGAGTGGCAATGCCGATGACTGAACAGAGGGAGAACGATCTGTGCCCAAGGGATGGCTGAGGATTTCCCCATTTTCAATGTCGAAGAAAGGATGCATGTCCGTGAGCATGTCAAGGTCTAGCTGGTGTATAGGGGAGTCCATTAGCTGGATGGTCGGTATCGGTGGGGCGGCATCGGAGCCTCCGATGCCGATACTGTAATAGGAACGGGGGGCACCTTAGGGGCATTACCCGGTGCAGAACCCGCAACCTTTCCAGACTTCACCGCCTTCAGGGACTTAGAGGAACCCTTCTTGGCGGGCTTGTGGTCCTTACTCGATTTCTCCTTTTTCTTTTTAACAGGAGTGGATGCCGAAGACTGTGTCGTTGGTGCCGGACACTTCGATGTCGACTGGACAATGTCAGACGAAGACTTTGATGCCAGAGCCGTTGATGTCAATGGTCTCACAGGTACGTCTGGATCCATGCCAGAAGCAAGGTCAAGCGCTGATTCCAGCAAAGCCACTCTGAGACGCGCCACTCGATTTTTCCTAGTTTGATTGGAAAACTTGGCACAGTGTTGGCAAGACTTTGGGTAGTGCATCTCACCGAGGCAAAAAATACAAAGGGTGTGCCCATCAGATGGAACGAGCTTACTGCCACACCCAGTGCAATGGTTGAAAAAGCCCCACTTTTTCTCCATAAAATAAACAAAGACGGAGAAGAAAAGGGGGAAAGGAAAAAATGAGGTGGGGGGGCCAAACCGAGGTAAAGAAAAGACCCCCCCTCAAAAAAATGTTTTTATTTTTTTTAGATATAAGAAGAAAAACACAAAGAAGAAGATAAAAAGAGGTTGACTGAATCAAATCCGAAGAGTTGTTCTGAGGAAAAATAGCTACCAATCTCACCGACCAAAGAAAGGAACTGGCGGGATGTCCGCGCCCACCCCTCTGGGCATGCGTGGTTGGGGTTCCTGCGCATGCCTGAGGCCTGGGCGTGAAAATCCGTTAGAGCTTGCTACAATACCTATCAATCCAGCGCAGGCGCACTGAATCCCCATGGGTGTGAAGCACAGAGACCACGTCGAAGATCCTTAATTACTTTGCTAAAGAGAACACGCACTCGGCTATATCTCTTGCTCGCTTGAGACAGCAACACCGTATGGTCAGTGGCGACAATGTAATCTCAAGCATGCTTACTCAGAAGAAAGCCCTGCCAAGTTCAGTGAGGTTTACTCCCAAGTAAGTGTGAAGGATTGCGGACTTAAATTCTAGTGCTATCTTGACAAGTTGCAGGGGCTACCAAAACTTAAAAAAAAAAACTAATAAAAAAATGCTGCAGTTTGGATTTTTGCCAATGGGACTCAAGTTTAGAAGTGGGTTCGGAAAAATACAATAATTTTAGAAGTGGGTCCCACTACAGCATCAGAGAACTGCTAGACCCGGAGATGGTCGGTGAGAATATTTCATAAACGTATGTCTTTTTATTTAACTTTTTATTTCACTTACTGGGAAGATCAGTGTCAAGCATCTGTGTCTCTGTAAAGTTATATCTTGCTAAGTTTGTTAACTGTTGTTATCAATGTCTTATAAAAACATGAATAATATTTAAAGGAACTCGGGGGTCCCATCCTGAAAACGGGTAGAACAAGGATCGCTCACTATCCGTCCGGAGCCTATGAGAGAAGACGCTGAACATGACAGCACCTTGTGGCTAATTAGGAAGAGCACAATTAAAAAAAAAATCCATTGCAACACAGAGCATGCCTTGGAAATTCCAAGAAAACTGGGCTTCTCAGAAAAGCAGGTGCTCTACTCTGCCATTTTAACATGGTGTACGAATAGCTACTTTTATTTCTGTAACTACATGACCACAAGAGTTATGAAAGACAATGCATATCCCACCCACCCCAACGCAAGAAGCACTACGTCACAATAAGGCATCTGGTCTCTATTAAGATACTCTTAACGTCTATACTGTTTGCAGGCATGTATTTGGTGTGCGGGGGGGGGGGGAGATCTTGAAACCATCTGAAAATTAGGAAGCCCAGAAGAAATTGGATTAACGGGCTCTCAATAAAGCTCTGAGGGAGCAACTGGAGCTGTACATCTGTCACAGCTGTATTTTTTTTTAAATCAAGTTTAAACCTGGACTAGCCTTCATACCATTATCAATTCCCTTTGTTCTCATTAAGAGCTAAGGCCATCCCCCCCACCCCAGGGCCTGCCTAAGCTATTTATTACCAACAATGGGTTGTTGAGAGAGGACAATATTAACTAACTACAAATGACTATTATTAGGCCAGCCAGTACCCTTGCTAATAGCTAATAATTACGCAGCCAGCTGCCTGCTAAGATCAGGAAGCTCTTTTCTCTGGGCTCAACATTAATAACAGATGCGATTACCAAGATCTAATTCTAAAGACTTCCAAGATTTTGTGCCGCCTGAACACAAACATTGATTTCTCCTAATTACATACACACCATAGAGAACATTTCCTCAACCAAAAGAAGAGTGAAAGAAGGGTTGCGGCTTATTCTTCAGATCATCTAGCACTGAAAAACGGCCCCCTGCCGATCCACACACCTCCTCCATAGATTTTGTTCTTCAATAGCCCACCCTCAAGTTCCTCTGGCAGGAGGACAGAACTGCTACCCAGGAAAGAAAACGCTCCTTTGGTGCTCACAAACTCACACCTCAAGATAACAGGAGAGTATGGGTAAAATATTTCAAATGAACTAAATGCGCCCGCATAGGGAGGCATGCTGGATCGGTGAACTCGGCTGCAGTCTTAACAGGTTAGGACAAGGACCATACCTGAAACACTCATCTTGCCGTCAGCACACAGGCCTCGTTTATTTATTTCATAAGAACATAAGAGAAGGCAATGTTGGATCAGGCCAGTGGCCCAACCAGTCCAACACTCTCTCACACAGTGGCCAAAAATACCAGGTGCCATCAGGAGGTCCAGCAGTGGGGCCAGGACACTAGAAGCACTCCCACTGTTCCCACCACCCCCCAAAGCACCAAGAATACAGAGCATCCCTTGCCCCAGACTGAGAGTTCCTTTCTACACCTTATGGCTAAAAGCCACTGATGGACCTCTGCTCCATATGCTTATCCAATTCCCTCTTGAAGCTGTCCATGGTTGTAGCTGCCACCACCTCCTGTGGCAGTGAATTCCTTTACTTATATCTTTATTTATTTATTTATTCCTTTATTTATGTCTTACATCATTCTCCTCTCCTCTGTTTTATCCTCACAACAACCTTGTGAGGAAGGTCAGACTGGCCCAAATTCAACCAGTAAGCTTCCAAGGCAAAGTGGGGACTCAAACCCAGATTTCCCAGATCCTAGTCCGACACTTTAACTGCTACGCCACGCTGGTTATCTTATATTTTTATCCCACCCATCTTCCCAAAGATGTTAATACACAGCTATTTTTTTACCTCACCCTCACTATGACCCTCTATGGAAGGCGAGATTAAGAACCGGACGAAGACTAAATTAGAAAGGCTAAGTGGGGAATGGAACCCCCTCCCCCATTCTGACCACTACAGGGCGTTGATGCCCACTTTCCAACAGCCTGTCTACGCAATGTAGCTATTCGTGCAAACTGTAGGAGTGTGACCATTACATTTATTTCAGAATAAATATTTCACCGCACACACACACACCACATTTCTCAAAGTGCACACTGATTGGGGAAATGATGGGATAACATTTCTGCAACACATTTAACTTGGAAAATCGTTTCAGATATCCTGAGAATCTCCTGTGTGGACTTTACGTCCTTGTAGCCGAGCAAGGGTAATATACAGCCAAGAGAAGGAAGTAAAAAAAAACACCCCAAAAACAAAACTAAGGCTCTCTGCCTCCTATTTAGTATGAATGCACCTGGTCTGGCCTCTGCTTACCTTTCGCCGAGATAATCTCCAATGACAGTTTTATTTAGTCCTTCCCCTTTATAAAGGAATTGTGCAATATCTTCTGGCGTGTTCTGCAAGAGGTCATTTTCTATGAGGAACTGGATTCCCTAGGGAGGAGGAAAGGGATTTAGTTGTTCACCCTCATCCTGAACATCTGTCTCTGGCCATATTAATATACAAAAATGCAACATATTGCTCTTGGGTATTCTTGTGGCAGTGATGCCCTGCCACAAAGAGCAAAAGGTTTGGCTAAACATCTGCAAAAATATCCCGAGAGCACAGTTGAGCCACAAAGCAAGACAGCTGTGAGATGTCCTTCCCCAGGTCAGGTCAGATGATGGGCCAAATACTGGGGCCAGAATACAGCAGTGAGAGGCCCCAGCTGAGGGGTCCAACTCCTGCTTTGAACGTAGAAGGTTTTCAAGTTTCAATTCCACAGCATCTCCAATCAAAAGATCTCAGACCTGAAATCTTGGAGAGCTGCTGCCAGTCAGAGGAGGAAATGTTCCGTTAACCAGTGAGTCTGATTAAGTCTGGCAGATTCACAGGAGACTGGAAAGTGTGGCGCCCTGAAGGGGAAAGGTGAGGGTGCTGAATTATCCATTGAAACAGGGAACAAACCCACCAATCTTGCAACTGTAAAACCGTGAAGACTACAAGTTGGGGGCCATGAGACGCATCCCCCCCAAAGCAAAATGCCTGCTCCAGAGACCTATTGCCTCCCACAGCACCTCAAGCAGTTCATTAACCAGCTGTTGACCAGGGCAGCCCTACATAATATCTGTTTTCACAGGCCCAAAGCACCCTTCCTCTCCTCAACTTATTTGCTTGCTCACGGTCGTCAATTTTTGTTCAACGGGAGACTTGTTCGTCTGGCCCAAACTCTGCTCCTCTAACTTTCCAAATAAACTTGGTGTTGCTCTGTGGAGAAGGAGACAGAGGACTGGACTGGGATGGGATGGGGAGGCTCTGGCTCAAATCCCGTCAGCAGTGAAGCTCACCAAATCTTGCGCCGGCTGCTGACTCCTAGCTTAATTAACTGGGGGAGGAGAAACCAGCTACCATGACTGGCTCCTCAGAAGAAAGGTGGAGTGAAACTGAAACAGCCACGAAACATTTCCCAGCTCCTGGTTGAGAAGCAAACAAGCCTAACCCTCTTCCTCTCTCCATACACATCCCAGATTCCCCGATGCTTTTATGGCAGCAGCAGCAGCAGCAGCTCAATACCAGACACAAATAAGAACCAACAACATTTGTTACCCTGCCCAGAAAACCTCTTCCCCGCTTCTGTCCAGCCAGCTGAGACATGAACTCTACAAACAGCCTTTTGACAGCTCAGACATAGCAAAGCGTTTTATCACATCGCAACAGTCGCAAAAGAAATTGTTTCAGGCAGGGCTCTTTTTGTAAAAAAAAGCCCAGCAGGAACGCATTAGCATAATAGGCCACACCCAACAGCAGAAACTCATTAGCATATTAGGCCACACTCCGGACAGCACAGCTCATTGGCACATTAGGCCGCACCCCCATGTTGCCAAAAGTGTGGTTATCCAGCCACACCCACCTTTTGCTTGTTATTCTGTTTACCTCGTTTGTTGTCAAAAGCCAGGGCTTTTTTTGTAGCAGGGACTCTTTTGCATGTTAGGCCACACACCTCTAATGTAGCCAATCCTAATGAGTTTCTGCTGTTGGGTGTGGCCTATTATGCTAATGAGTTCCTGCTGGGCGTGGCCAACTTGGGAGCCAGCCGGAACTCCGTTCCTGTGCGTTCCTGCCCAAAAATAGCCCTGTGGGTAGCCGTGTTGGTTTGAAGCAGCAGAACAAAGTTTGAGTCCAGTGGCACCTTTAAGACCAACAAAGTCTAATTCTGGGTATAAGCCTATAGGTAAAGGTTTCCCTTGCTCAAAAGCCAGTCGAATCCGACTCTAGTGATGCAGTGCTGATCTCCATTCACTGGACTTAAACTTTGTTCTAAAATAAATTTTTAAGAGCCTACGACTGCAGGCAGCTCTTTTTAATATACTTATCAGATGCTAGCATACTGCTGATATGTAGTTGAAGCTTGCTAGGCTATTAATGTTAGTTTTTTTTAAAAAAATGATGACACTACCCTTCTCTCTCCTCCCCCACCTGAAAAAGCGGAAACAAGAGAGAAAGACGCATCTCATGAGAATACATACCCAATTTAGCGTCTATGGCATATGAGCCCTCAGGATGTAAAAAGATAATCTGCTCAAAACAGAATTTATGTCTGCTCATTCGACCATGCTAATGACTTGACAGAGGACATGGTTTGGAAAGCTCCAAGAAGAACAGATAGAAAACGAGATAACAGTGCAGTTACAATGGCATCATCAGATAAACCATTGGTTGCAATAATCTAAATCTTGGCCAACTGGCTGCACCGTTCGCTCACAACACGTTTTTGAAAATCTTGAAAAAGTATAACATGTCCGAAATGTCACATGGTCTGCTGTTAACTCATGCCTTCTGGTTCAACTCGAATCAATGGTGTGCTCAGGAGCAGCTAAGAGCACCTCTAATTCTCTCTAGCCCTGACCTGGATAGCCCAGACTACCCTGAGTTTATCAGAGCTTGGAAGCTAAGAAGGCTCCGTCCTGGTCAGTACTTGGATGGGAGACCACCCAAGGAATACCAGAGTCGCTATGCAGACGCAGGCAATGGCAAACCACCTCTGAACGTCTCTTGCCTTGAAAACTCGATGGGGTGGCCATCAGTCAGTTGCAACTTGATGGCAAAAAAAAATAATAATTCTCTCAAAACACTCTGAGACATCCTGTGGGCGTGTCCTACTCCATAACACCCTCCATTCTTTATATTCTATCAGGAAGCGGATTAGGATGTTTTTATATTTTATGGACAGAGTGTATGCTGGGGATTTAACCTTGTGGGCATGCATGAGTATGTCTATTTGCTGTTTTAAAAATCGTAAGCTTCTCTAAGAAACAAGCTGCTGGCATCGCTTATTTCAAGAACAAAGAGTTGAGGCCATCCAGTCAGTGACCGCTGCTTACTTCAAGTATGGTAAACCCACGGCCATTTAATCAGTCTGGGAAGCTATTTTTAGACTAGGAAGCTGCATGCTCCTCCTCTCAAAATAGCTTCACCATACCCCCCCAAAAAAAACCCCTTCCCTGAATGTCCAGCTGGAGCACAAATGCCGACATCCAGGATCTCTGTTTAAGTCACGTGCTTTTCATTGCGAAAGGCAGCAATGCCTGCTGGCCGTATTTCCATCCATACCACCCAGGCCCTTGCAGCTACGAAATTAGTTACAAGCTCAAATCCCATTTTTAAAATCTATTTTTTGTTGTCCTTGTGCTTCCGAAGGGGTTTTGGTCTGGTGGAAGCTTGCTTTCTGGAAACCCAGATGCCGCACAAAAAGAAGCTGCCTTTCTTGGAAACTGAGTGAAAAAGAACTACTTGGGGAGGAGGGGGGGGAACCCCTGATGCATTTAAGATTTCAGAGCAGAAAGAAAGATCATATAGTTAAAAGAGAGCTAGATAAGAGGAAGAATACTGTTCTGGGCAAGTAGAATGCTGTGAACATACTGTGTTTCTGGCCCAAAAAGGATACAGCACCTTATACTCTTATTAAGGATGGCACATGTGAACCACAAGCAACATTACTACTAGCTATGTTCTCCTCATGACACTCAACAGGATGCACACACACACACAGAGTAGCCCTTCCACCAGTCCTTCAATTAGGAGCCGCCACTGATGAATGAGCTACTAAAAACATCTGTTACTGGCACTTTACCAGGGATACTGGTCTAGTCATACTGGGCCATCTTACAACAATTTTTGCTAACTGTACTTAATCTGCACTTTATATACTATTGTTGGAATTTTATCTGTTTTTATTGTACTTTTAATTATTGTACGCCACCTTGAGACTGCTTGTCAGGCAAGGCGGGATCTAAGTCGAAATTAATAAATAATAAATAATAAATGAGTAAGAAACCCACACACCCCAAGAAAGACCACACAGACTCTGAAGGCACTGGCTGCTCTTGCCTATTATGTTTTTATGCTAGCAGGCCTTTATGCCCTGCCCCCTAAGAACAAAAACACACACAAAAAGTGTACCGCTGTGTATTGGCTCACTGATCACAAGGATAGTTCTAGGTGGTCAGCCATGTTGGTCGGAAGCAGCAGAACAAATTGAAGAGTCCAGTGAGGCACCTTGAAGACCAACAAAGGTTTATTCCAGGTACAAGCTTTCGTGTGTGCGCACACTTTTTCAAATGCTTTGGAATCACAAGGATCCACTTTTCTGCTCAGTTAAGTGGAAAAAGCAGGAATTAAATTATTGATGCTTCTGCAGGACAAATGTTTGGGGTACACTTGACTGCAACTTTGCTTTAAGTTACAGGTTAGTCGGGGCTCTGGTCAGTTTGTAGCATACGTGTATCCTGAGCACAGCCCTGGGTATAAGCCTTTGTAATACACGCAGGTCCATTCCCATAAGGCACCATGGTTGGACTGCTTCTAGACATGCTACATTCTTAGCCTAGGCCTGTCAACAGGACTTCAGTAAGATGTTTAAGGCCTTATGTACACTAAACAGCCTACCTTCTTTGGATCCATGTTGAACTTCTTTCTCCCCATAGCTACTTGCTTGTTCCTCTGTGTAGTTTTGCTGTTTTTTGTTTAGGTTTTTTTTTTAAGCGTGGGGGAGAAAAAACACAGTCACACAGAAATATCTGGTTAAATTTTTAAAAATATTTTCATTGTAAATGTAATTTACGCAGGTATGGCTTACAAAGGAGAAGTTGGACAGCTCTTTGCGGGGATAACAACTGATTTTACTTTGAGGCAGTTATAAATGGCATTTCAGAAACACCACCATTTTGTCCCTCAGAGCAGGGACTGTTAAAGAGGATACAGTTTGGGGCTTTAAGACACAAACCAGTTTGACTGGATTATTTCAATCCAAGCCAATTTGACAGCACAATCCTTCGAGCTGCTCTGGCAAGCAAAATAAGAGTTCAGGGCTGCTCTTACACCAGCACAACGCCACCGCCTAGGGTGTTGCCATGACAAAGTGACCCAAAGAAAGGACACCACGGTCGCGGCCCAGCTAAGGAAGCCTCCTGAGTTTTTCCAAGTACCTGCCTGTTTCATAATGCCTTACATTTTCAGGGATTAACGCGAGTGTCTAGTTTTATTTTTAGTAACATGTTTTACAACAGAGTTTGGAAAACATCTTTCAAGACAGGACTAGACTTTGATGCACAATGAGACGATGGTCTCTCTTTCACAAAAGCTGCAACTAGCCAGAGACATTCTGGACAGGCACAGTGCAAATTAATTCAGTCCCAGCATCCCATTCTGCTATGCTGATAGGATACCCCAGGTTAGCATGCGATGGACCGTGACGCCGCACTACATCATCATCGGTCATTGTGCTTCACTCCAAACATTCATTCACTGAACGACCAGCTTGTCAGTGTGCACAGAAGCACTTCCCCTTCACTAAACAGTGGATCAAACTACAGACTTATTCCTTAGTGACAACACACTGGCTACAAAAACTGAGCTTCTTACATGGATCAGGGTCTCAGCTGCAACTGCTAGGCTAATTTTCTCACAAGGTGTTCAGAAACTGTAAGAAACAGGACTCCACTTTCCCATAAAATATATACGTTGTTAAAGTCAACTTACCATTCCTCTACGCTCGTCAAGTTATCGATTTCCGTCATAACCTCAGCTATTTCAGATTTTAACCTCTGCCAAAAGAAAGAGAAGAATGTAAGTCCATGTTCAAGCAGCTTTTCTGAAAAGATTCCAGTTTTCCCCAAGGACGAACATCCGCTTCTTTTTGCATTTGACAATCAAACGCTCCCGTCTGATGTGTCTCCTTGTAACAGCATTGAGTTACTGGAACACAATCGCCAGGCCATCGTGTGGGTGTAGCACTTTGTACACCTTATCCTAAAAGCAATTACTCCAAGGAGTATCTTCAGGCTGTACTATACAGTTTTAGGTATCACGCAAGACACAGCGATCTGCTGTCAGTGCTGATTTCACGGCCACAAACGTATCGAATTATCAATAATAAAAAAAGTTATTACCTCGATATCATCGATTAATTCCTTTTTTCTGCGGCGAATATTCAACAGCTCTTCTCTCTCCTCTGCAGAAAGGTCATCAGGCACTGGGGGGGAAAGCAAACAGAACACACCCAAACAATTAAATATAATTGATGTAGACTCTGGTACTCTGTGTTCTACCAATAAAGGCCTTATTGGCTACTATGCGGCTCGCACCAAGCAAGGAAAGCTTGCCTCGGTGACTGACCTTAGGGAGATTGGCTGTGCCAAGCTACAGAGGCAAAATTAGCTAACAAATGCAATTCTCTTTCTTGGGGAGGCCTGAATAAGGATTACGGGAAGTCCTCGCACTATGAAAACTAAAATCATTCCCATATGATTATGAATGAATGAATGAATGAATGATGAATGAATGAATGAATGAATGAATGAATTTATTTCGGCTTGCATGACCAAAAGTCTTAAGCACACTTATACACACTTATAAAAGTACCATTCATACAGGAAAAAAAAAATAAAACATCAGCACTTATTAAAAAACAAAACTCAATCATAAACAGTAGGGTACATTATCCCAATCTGAGTGTATTACATTAGGTGGGATCGTCAGACAAGATACATCCTCAAGCGGGTAAACACAGCATCAACTCAGAAAGGTTTGAACTTTCCCCTCCTTTTTTTTTTTTTTTTGCCACCAGGGCCAGAAATAAGGCCACTGCTTTGGTAACTGAATCCACTCTATCAGATAAGAGAACAGAAATTGACCAGGGAAGGGAGGGAAGATTTTCTTTTGTCACGAGAGGTATAATATACTTCTGCCTCTCCATGTTCCAGTTGGGGCAAGCTAGCAATATATGATCCATCGTCTCCACCCTACCTTGATTACAATCGCATATCCGTTCAGAGAACGGGATGCCGTGAAAGCGGCCAGAGACTATGTTCGACGGGAACGTATTCAATCTAGCCAACGTGAAGGCTCTATGAAGTACTGGACTTTTGAGAGTGTAACAGTAAGTAGGGATCACAACCGGCGGTGGAAGGCCAAGGGATAGACCCGAACAGGTACGCCGAGCTCTGCAAAGTGTACTGCTAAAGTCCAGTTCCCTTAATTTTGTTTTTATGAGTTTAAAGACCTCCTTTTGCTGTGAGGAGGTAATACCAATGTTCAAGGATTCTAATTTGGATTCAATTAGCTTAGTTCTATTGCTTGTATAAGTGTCTCTCTGAATCAAGTGAGCAAAGCCTGGTCCACTAGGGAAAACCCCTCTATTTTCTTTATTGGTAAATGCTAACTGCCATGCTCTTCTCTCAATTCTACCCTAAGGGCCATACCTGCCACGCATCTCGGCACCGCCGCGATGTCTCTAAGGAACATGTGGAGAGGGGAGCCTAATTTTTCCGAAACACCTTCTATCCACACTCCACAGCCATACAAGAGTTGCGTTAAAGAGTGGCATTAAAGATCCCAATAGCTGCCGGAATATGTTTGGCCCCTTTTGAGCAAAAGAATTTTTTAATTACTCTAGATGTAAGTCTTGCGGCCTTCAATGCCACCTTAACATGTGGGGTCCAAGATAAATTATAACAAAAGGTGATTCCAAGGTATCTGTGAGAAGAGACTTTTTCGAGTTCCCCCCCCTTCACTTTTAGAGATTTGGCACCGGTGTTAGGGGATCGTGAAAACCTCAAGACCTTAGATTTAGAATAGTTCACTACTAGTTCCTCTTTGTTACAGTAGGTGACATACGCGTTAATTAGGGATTTTAATCCCACCTCTGTTCTAGAAATGAGAAGCGCATCGTCCGCGTACAACAGAATTGAGATGGGAAGGTTAGCCAAAATAGGAGGGTGTCTAGCTTGAGATTTAACAAAAGGGGTAATGTCGTTAATAAACAGATTAAAAAGGGAGAGAGCAAGTAGGCAGCCTTGTATGACCCCTTTGTCCGTTTGGAAGCACGAAGTGAGTTGTCCATGCGAGTTATAACGTACTTGGCGCGAGGTGTCAGTATAAAGATTGATTATCAAGGCTAGGAGTCTTTTATCCACCGTGGATTCAGACATTTTACTCCAAAGTCTTCCTCTATTGATGGAGTCAAATGCTGCCTGTGTTTGTGACAGGCCTAACCTAATTAAGATTGCTTCTAAAAGACATTAAAACCAAACAAAAACAAAACCCAGCTAAAATATATATACAGCACAAGAACAACAATTAAAACACAGGGCAGGAAGAACAGATCACTTAGGGAACACCAGATGAAACAAAAATTCTCCACCCACTGGTGGAAGAGGGCTACAAAAGAGGGCAAGTGACAAGTGAGTCCCTCTAGAGAGAAAATTCCACAGTTTTGGTACCACTACTCCCCCCCCCCCTTTAATGTACTGTCCAAAAATAAGTTCTGGTGAACATGAAATTATCCACACTACTTTGCAGCTTTTTAGCTGATCAAAACAATATTTTGTTAAAGTTGCTACTTGGACTTTCATTTCCTCTTCCTTCGTGGATTAACACAGCAACCCGCATTGGTTTTGTCTGACAGGGAGCGTCACTTTAATCAGTTCCTGTTAATCAAGCTTATCCTCAGCTGAACTCTGGTCCTTTCTCAGTTACTGCGATTCAACACGCTACGACTGCACACACATAAAACGTAAAAGTGACACATACACATCTGGGAACTCTGGTCCAATGGGGGTTCCCAAACAAGTCTTACATGGGTGCTTCAAGACTTACTGACACTGACTAGATCCACACTCAACATGTATGCTTATGGTGTTTCCTGTAACAATTCTACTTTACAGAGCTGTCCCTAATTCCATACCTCTTGTATTTGAAAGCTCTTGCCAGTTTGAGAGCCAGCTTGCTGTGAGAGCCAGTTTGGTGTAGTGGTTAAGTATGCAGACTCTAAACTGGGAGAACCGGGTTTGATTCCCCATTCCTCCACTTGCAGCTGCTGGATGACCTTGGGCAAGCCATAGTTCTGACAAGAGCTGTCCTTGAAAGAGCAGTTCTCTCAGAGCTCTCTCAGCCCCACCTATCTCACAGGGTCTCTGTTGTGGGGAGGGGAAGGGAAAGGAGTTTGTAAGCTGCTCTGAGACTCCAAGTGAAGGGCGGGATATAAATCCAATCACTTCCTCTTCCTCCTCTTCCTCTTCCTCTTCTTCTTCCCCAAGTAGCCCAAAGCATCACACTGTTGATCTTTTACTGCACTCTTTTTTTCGTCTACAATTTTTACAGTGCCGTCAATTTTTTTTCCAGTTAAAAAACACCCCATCAGTCTGCTTGGTTTTTAGATTTCTACAAGTCAAATCATACTGCATTGTCTACTGGGTGTCCCAATTGATTGTACTGTAGATTGTACTGACTTTTCTGTGCAATACGGCTTAAGTCTCAGAGAGAAAGGTAGACTATTTTAAAAAAACCTAAATAACAATACCAACAGCCAGCACTAGACATTGTCAGAATCTACAGGGGTATTTCAGAAGGTAGAACAGCTAGATTTGAGTCCAGTAGCACAAGATTTCTCTGGTATGAACTTTTGACAGTCAAAGCTTCCTCGACTCTTGGAAAAATCATACCATGGAAATCTTGTTGTTCTCTAAGGTGCTGCTACTGGACAAACAGAGGGCTGTTGGTGACCATCTTCATCTTAGGTCAGAGACCTGCAGCCTCTTAGGGTTCAAGTTTCATGGAAACAGAAACCACTAATGAAATTCTAAACCCTCACACTCCTTTAAATCCCGTTGATTTAGAAGGGCGGAACTCTGTTTAGGATGGCTCTAAAAGACAGGTGAAGATACCTTGCCAGAAGCAGACAAACGGAGGCGATTGTTCTGAAGAATGATGAAGAATGGATAACTGATGAAAGATGAAGAATTGTTTAGAAGAACATCGAGATGATGAGATCATGGAAGAATGGGAGACGTACAAATATTTATACCCTCAGGACCTCCGGTAAGCAGGTGTCAGGAAAGCCCTACTGCTGCCAGAGGCACTGCCTGTTAGGTCAATAATCCTGAGCCAGACTAAAAGATGGCTTTAGATATTCTCACCTTTGGCTGAACTCTGTCATCCTGTTCATAATGAATGAAAAGCAGCGATTGAAAGGAACAAGTTCCCTCCCCCCCATCACAAGGGTCCTCTTCCGTTCAAATAACTGTCTGGTGATGCTGTTCAGGTAGCTCAATCGAGCCCCATCATGTGGCAGTAAGATAAAATGCTTTTAAAAAACCCACAACATTGTCTGTCTTAAGAAGACAGTCTTCTCCCACCTGTAAGTAATTCCCACTGAGCTCCTTATCCAACTTTCCTAATTTAAAAGGCAAAGGAGTTTACATTACAAAGAGCCAACAATTTCCCTGCAACTTGATTTCACAAAAGAAATTACCTTTCAACAAATATGCAGGAAGGTTTCCCCAAGAATTAAAATATCCCGATAATGTATCAGAAAGAAATGGCCCCCATATGCAAAGTCATTTGCAGCCACACTTCTGTCTGCCAACCACACCTGTATCCCCCCCTCCCTCCAAAGATCTCAAGGTGGCATTCATGGTTACATTCCCCACACATACCCCAGAGCACTCAGTAAAAGCTGATGAAGATTCAAGCCAAGATCGCTGACATGCCAACTGGTCTACTTGCCTCCTTCATGGTCACAGAAGCTCCAATTGTTCAGGACGGGGGATTTCCCCCCCTAGTCTGACAGTAAACACCTTCAGGAGGTTTCCGTGTCTCATTTTTCCACACAGAACTAAACAGTGTCAACGCTTAGCAAACAACCATATGGATGCTTTTCCTCAATTCAGCACGGACTGCAGTGAGTAATTTGGAAACTCTTCACTTAGTTAAAAAAAAACACCAACGGAGTTTGCACTTCAAACACAGGGAAAGGCGAATGCTGAAGTAATTTAGGAAAATTAAGTTGTTCTGCGCCGAGTGAAAAGTGTGGCAAATGAAGCTGTCACCAGCAAGTGCTTTCACTTATCTAACAAAATACACATATTTAACAAACCGGAGAGGAACAAGGAACAAAGCTAAGCTTCTAAAAACTAAACGTTTCTCTATTTTCCCCTTCTCATCTCTGTCTCCCCCCCATGCATTTTTTCTAAT